AATATAATATAAATATAAGTATTTTTGGTAAAACTAACTTGTAAGTTAACTTATGATCTACAAGTCATGAAAATGAAAATTGAAACTTATAAGTTAATTAGTTAAATTGAAATTGTTTATCAAGATTAATTGATAAGTTAATTTAATTAATATAAAATGATATATTTATTTGATAATGAGAGTCAAAAAAGAACATACAAAAAAAAAGGATTTATAAGTTGTAAGCTACTTTAATTCATTCATAGAAATGAACAATAAATTTTTCAAATAAGCTCTCGATACCAAACAAGTTTATTTTTATTAAACTAGTTTATAAGCTTTTCAAAAGAGCTTATATGCTCTTCAAATGCCTTGTAAACACATCTTGTATGACAATTTTAATTTTAAGGAACAAAATGATTATATATATATATATATATATATATATATATATATATATAGTGTGACACTCTTTATCCCAATATACATATGTTCTTACCGGAGATCGGTCGTAGGGACGATCTGCTGGCAAGATCGGTGAGCCTCCTTCACTGGGTACCTGCAAAAGAGACTCCGATGCTCAAGTTAGTGTTTGTGGATGTATGAGTCTCATATAAGTAATGCACGTACCTTTGTGTGAATTAGGGTTTCATTAGGCCTTGGGCCCGAGGTTAATTATGACCTGTTTGGATAGCGGTCCTTGTCTTGACCGACGTCGCCTAGCGCATGTCCGAGGTTGACTTGCGCTGTGAGGCCGAGCTAGAGCTCGGCATCGCGGTACGGATAGTACAACATATGTAATAATTATGAAAATAAAATTTTTCATCATTAAAAAAAAAATCAAATCTCCAATCACACAAGGGTAAAGAGTTCACATTCATAAACTTAATTCAAATAACATGTCAGTGAAATTACAAAGAAATAAAATTGAGTTCTCAAATAGTAAACTACGCCTAACTATGCCCCAATGTCATATATCCTATCAGAGCATGCCCAACTGAAGCCTAAGCCTCATCACCAACATCCTCATGCTGATGATCACCTGCAACACAATTTAAAAACATACAAAGAACAACAAGGGAGTGAAAAACATCTCACTCAGGTTCAGGTGCAAAATAAAGGTTAGATAACACACACACAAAACAATCATATTACAAGTCATAAGCACTAATCATCATATAAACAATACACATACATGATCAGTATCACATGTACACTCATTTATCATGTTATGATATCATGGACTCGACTCATAAATGTATGCATGTGGTGCCATACGAAAGTTTCACATTTCTCATCACTGGTATGCTACTACATCAACATACCTAAGGGCACGTTCATTCATCATTTCATCACTGATGACCCTAAGGTACACCTTAATACATCACTGGTGACCCTAAGTGATGGAAGAGCATGGGCTAAAGGCCCAACCACTAGAGCTATGACCAGGAGATTACTTGAAGACTTGTTTGCTTCAGAGCTTAGTGAACCCAATGGGCTTGGTGGGCCTAGGGTGCTTCTCACTTGGGCTTTAATAAATTGACACCATGTTTATATTGTAAATACTTAGCATAGGAAGTTACTTTGATTTTGGTCTTGTATTTTGACCATAGATTAGGGTTTGTGTACCTTGGTCTTATATTTGGGCTTCATGGGCTTTAGGCTTTTGATACCCAATATTGGGCTCATTCTTCTTCTTGTAATTTTTCTATTCATTGTATTTTCTTGACCATTGTATTTAGGTCATTAGATTAGGGTTTAAGGAGGATTATTAGTTTAATTGGATTAGGTTAAACTAGGTTTAATTTAGGATGCATTTAAGTTACATTTTGAGTCACATGTTTTACGCCACCTTGGCTGAACATGTGTGACTCAAAATTAACCCTAAATGCATACTAAATCAAAACCAAATGCACCTAGCCCTAGTGTGAACCGGTCATGACATGTGAGTTAAGTTTTGAATTCAAATTTTTGAAATTTGAATTCAAAACTTGGTGCCACATGTGAAGCCTTCACATTGGCGCCCTAGTGTGAACCGGTCATGACATGTGAGTTAAGTTTTGAATTCAAATTTTTTGAAATTTGAATTCAAAACTTGGCGCCACATGTGAAGCTTTCACATTGGCGCCAAGTGCCTTGTTTCCGAATCCTTTAAATACCCTTCTTCACACATTGTATGTTACTTTTGAGATTAATGAAATTTGAGAGCTATTCAGCCAAATTTCCTTGAGAGTCACCGTGAGAAAGAGAGCTACACTTTTAGGAACCCTATTAGGTTTCCTCCTCTTTGAAGTGAGCTTTCCCTTGAACCTTAAGCTTGGATGCTTCCATCCAAGGCTTAAGCCTCTTTCCATTCGAGAATCTTCATTCCTTGAGTCTCCATTTACTTCGGTTTTAAGCTCCTTTGAAGAAGATCCACGCCTAGGTGAAGCTAAGGAGAAGATCATCATCCACTTCTCCTTCCTTTGCCATCATTTTTGGTATCAAGAGCAAGGTCTTCAAGGAGATAAGTGTTCTTCATTTTTGTGTGTCCATGGTCTTGTTGTTCTTTGTGTATTCTTGTGTCTTGCTTGAGTTTTCTATTCGGATCTATTTGTTTTGATTTTTTGTGTTCCATAGATCCATTGTTTGTTTGTTTTGAATTCTTCCATAATCAACATGTTTTAGGACCTATTTGCTTGTGCTTATTTTGCTTTTATTTGAGTCTCTCCATTCCTTGCATGTGTCCGTGATTGGACCTCATACATTTGCATTAGATTTTGGTTTTGAATCCTTGTTTTGTCCTAGTAGTTTGTGTTTAGTCCTTATATGTTAAAAATTCCTTGAATAACATGTTTAACCTAGTTTTCTTGTGAGTTGTTTGGTCATATTTTGGTCTCGGTTTGCTTACTCTTTCGCCTACCTATATGTGCTTTTTATTTTACCTTATTGAGTTCATAATTTGCTATTAGTTCTAGCAAATTTTTTTAGAGTTAGGTTTCCATTGTGTACTTAAGTTTTCAAATCACTTTCTATTGAAAATTCTTGAAAAAAATTTGTGTTGCTTAAAATTTCAAGTGTTTAATCCTACTTCTAGTGCACTATCTCTTTTGGATTCAAATTTTAAAAGTATAGTTGCTGAAAAACAGAGAAAATACAGAGCATTTTGTCTCAAAAAGTTAAAAAAAAAAGTGAACAAAGAATCCAATTAAAAACTTAAAAACTAGTGCACTAGTTACATCAAATTCACTTGAAATTTTGTCTATGTAGTAGTCTTGTTTTTAATACTTTGGAATTGTGAAAATTTTGAAAACAAAAGGCAAGTGTCTTCTCTGGAATATCAACTTGAATTCAGGAAAAGAAAAGTATAAAAAAAATATATAAAGCATTTTAAAGAGGAAAAGCCGAGAAGAGCAAAAAATAAGAAAATACACTTGATTCCATGTCTTCTTTGGACTACTAATTTGTGTGTACTTGTTCAAATTCCTTCAAATTTTTTTTGTTGTTTTGATAATCTACTCTAGTACCTATCTAGGAGCTTTCCTTACTGTGTGCTAGCTTTCATTGGAGTCTTATTTTTCAGCTTTCTTTGTTGGACATCTTTGAGTCTTGTCATAAACACCTTAATCTTCAAATTTTGGTATAAGCTTCTTAAATTGTGCTTTTGTTGCTTGTCTTGTTTTCTTTCAATAATCATTTTGTGATGGAAGTGGCCTCAAATCCTTGCTTAAGGATCAAGCATTGACTCAACAAAGAGTAGGAAAAGATTTGGACATTAAGACTACAAAATTTGACCTAATTTAGTGACCAAATTTTTCCTAAACTACCTTCACAAGAGTGATCATTCCTTTCACCTTGTGAGCAGCCTTCATTAATCAATATTGTTGTGTTCATTGTGTAGGGTCCAGGAACAAATCAAGCCAAGGGTTGGTGGCGGATTAGAACACTTAAACAAGTGTTAAAAAATTGGCCAACAAAATTCGTCACTAACTTGGTCACTAAATCCGCCATTTATTGCTTTCTAGGCTAGTTTAAATTTTTGCAATCTCTCTTGTATTTTAAACCAATTTGTAAAGCTTGGAGGGAGTATTAAGAAGCTGGTCAGGTATATCTAATCCCTTGGTAGCCTACTCACATGTAGTACTTGTGGAAGTGACTTGGAAATTTCATATGTTTCAAGCTTCCACTTAGGGCAAACCGACTTGTTGCTTTACTTGCTTCCTTTAAGTTGTGTGATCTTAATTGTGTTTTATTTTTATG